TTTTTGTGGGGGGGTTTTGTGTTTTTTTTTTTTTGGGGGGGGGGGGAAGGGAGGAGGTGTGAAGCAGTTTTTTCCACCTTTTTACAGGATGTGTAAGAAAAATTGTGGGGTTTAAGACAGCTTTGGTCTTGTCCATGTTAAATGCCCTGTCTTTCTGTCTATCTGACTTCTTTCCAATATTGGTGACTCCTTGATAACATGAGATAATCCAGTTCTATTAAGGAATCTGTTCCAGGCCTTACAGGATCATTCAATTATAAAGTCACAGAATTTGGTAGAAGTCGCACAGACAAATGCAACAGCCAGTTTTATACATGTGAAGGTGTTAGTTTACATGATCAAGCAGAGATCCTCGATGATGGCTACAAACAGCATATAGATATTTTCTTAGTCCACAATAATTTTTCATTTGATTTTTTTCAGACATCTTCATTTCTTTCAATTTTTACTCCCTCCATTTTGTGCCCTTCTTTCCACCTTCTTTCAATTCTGAATTTGTAGCCTATGCAGACAACAAAAGACTGTTAGCACTGAAAGCTTTCTGAGGGAGGCTGATTGGAATTTGGCAAGTTCCTTTCTCTAGTCCCTTCTGTATATAAAATGACTTAATGGAAACAGTTTATGAATAGTCTGTTCCCCTCTGCCTAGAAACATTTAAATAGGACTCTGGTGCAAAGATAAGCTTGAAGCCTGTTAATATAATCAGTTTATCTCCCTTTGTGGCTGGATTTGCGGTGCACCAGAGTGCTATCTCAGCTGCTACTGTTGCTGATGGTCCCACCTGCTATACAATCGCAAACTGACCGGAGGGCCAGATGCATACATCAGGCAACCAGAAGATTGACGGCCATTATTTAAGAGCTTTTCAAATGCTGATGTAATCATGAGAGCTTTTCAGGCATGCTTGTTAAGTTGTTTAACATTTTCACTCTGTGTATTTTTACCCTCTTGGGTAAAGGCAAGTTAGAGAGCTAGAAGTGTTGACGCCTATATCGGCTTTTTCGTTCTCTTCCAGCTGTAAATACCACCCCCAGCAGCTGGAGCCTGGACAGTGGGAAGGAAGCCAGAAACACATCAGAAAGTGGAAAGCTTATATCTCCTCCTGTACCACCAAGACCTGCACAGACTGGTGAGTTAATGGACATTTCAGGCTAAGCTTCAGTAAAAAAAATTACTTGAGGGCTTAGGTTCTTTCCACTCTGGTTAATTTTTAATTTCTTGGGCAGGTTAATTTATTATTTGATTACTTACATGGAAGGCTGTAGAACTGCCTCTGCAGGTATTTTCATCTTGTTAATGTTCTCTCTAGCATTGTTTCCAATACTCGCCCCTTCACTTAATGACTGAGTAGTTTCAGACAGTTCATGCTGGTACTGGGGAGGATGATCAGATTTAATCTTTTGATCTTATGATAATTGGAGGTTAGCAATCAGAAATGATCATTAACCACAAAGAATCTTACCGGACAGAAAATGCACAGCAATCATGGAAGTATATGAGTTCTGTTACTATAACTAATTTGCCTTTCAAAAGATTAATTTCTATTTAAAGGAAAGGCTGCTTAAGTGGTACTATAAATATAATTGCTCTCAAGGGAGTGAAGACGCTTTTTGTGTTTTAGACTTACGCCTCAAAGTATGTCCAGGCATGTTTGCAGTATATTTACAGGTAAATGCTTGATGTAGGTACATTATGTATTGTCTTTTTTCTTATTTGACATACAAATAGATAACATATTTCTTAAGAAGAAAAAGAGGAGGGGAAAAGCTATTATACTGACTTTTTTTGAATCCTGTTGTCATTTGATAGGATGTAAACCAATTTATAGTGATATAAAATTTGTCAGAGAAGACAGATGCAGAAATTTCTTATTCTTCATTGTTTGTAATGCAAGATAATCCTGAGAACAAAGTACAATAAACAAAATCTCTAAAACTGTTTGCAGCCATCAGGCAAGTACCTAGAGGGAACCAGAGATAATCCTTGTGTATAGAATGATCTTCTAGATACTTAAAAAGGTTTCTTAGTGAAAATTGTAATGCCAAGAGTGCACTGAAATCTTTCTGACTTCACAGCATCACCAGCAAGACACATAGCCTCCGTTTCCCCTTCTCCTGCTGGCAGATCACCAATGAAGGTACTGTCTTATTGCAGTGAATCACCTTTCTGGGACAGGTTGTATGTGTTGTGGGATAGATACTATATATTTATTATACGTTATTTGGGATTATATTATGTTTTCCTTTTGTTATTATATGCCTGTACAAAAAAACATTCACAAGAATAAGTAGCCATAACAATTACAGCAGCTCTGAAGATTTTCAAAACTGCAGGCAAGAAACCTAATCTTCAGACTTTTTAGCCTCTGAATATTAGGCTTCTCACCTACATGGATAATCAAGCTCACCTGAGTCAGTGGACAGAAAGGGCGTGTAAGAAATAAATGTAAGGCATGCCCGATGGTCCACCTAGTCCAGAATTCTGTCTCCAACAGTGGCAAAAGGGAAGATGCCATCTAAGGAGAACCTGTTGTGCAACCCATTCCTCTTACTCCTCCAGCATCCAGAGCTGTTGGATTAGGAGGGTGTGTTAGAGAGTAATCCCTGCTTCAGTTGTTTTAATATCCATTTCCTCTGCAGAATGATCCAGGGAGGTTGTATAAGAAGTTGGAAGTAGTTTGAAGCCTGCCAGTAGGAAACATTAAGCACAGGCAATAAGCATTTGTTCTTCTCTGGCAGTTAAACACCCAGAGCAATTGGGGATCCAGGCTAAACTGAGCAGGTTTCATTTCTGTTTCAAGATATTTGAATGTGTTGGTACCCACTTGTTGCACAACAGCTTATTGGCTGGAAAACTTGACCAGGAAATCTGTGTCTTCCACAGCACTGGAGGACATGAACATGCAGCCTGCACCCCAGTACTGACAGACTGCACAACATAGCCTCGGGGATAGCCTCTTCCACTCCATTGAAGGAGAGAGAATTCTGCAGTTAGAAATATGAGGGTCAACAACCTGGAAGGATAGCAAATAGAAAGGAGCATGACTGGTGCTTCAGGCACTCAGGTGTGAGGGCAGGGGGGGACAGCCCTGCCAAAGTGGTTGTCCCTCAGCTACCCAATGCCTAACTAATGCTGCAGAGGTAACGCATCTCCTGAGGAGAAGCAAAGTAGCACCCCAAAAGGCCTCCTTTCCCCTTGAGGTCCCTAGTCACAAGTCCACAGCCATTCTCCCATTTGTCATCCCATGAACCTGCAACTTTTCCACTTGTGGCTGCACAGTGGTCCAGGTTCAACATGGAGCAATTGTGCTGGCCATCTGAGTGCCCCATAGCCCTATTACCATAGTATGCCTGCTGCTGAAATGAGCACCGATCCCAGGTTTCGCACTAGCTGCTTACTAGGCAGCTCTTCAGAGCATTAGGTTCTTGTACAAAAGGTGAGCAACTCTTCCTTTTTTCCTAAATGCACTCAGTACTGATGATTCTTAGGGGTGTTTCAAGCTCGTCCTAATATCTTATTCTAAAGGCCTGGACAGAATTTAAGCATTTTACAGCCAAAGTCTGGATTGTCGCTTGGGAGAGGAATGCTGGCCTAGAATACTTCTGAGAGTTGCTGGATCTCACTTCAGACATCCATGAATTTCCAGACTGTTCTGGTGTCTAGACTGTTACTACTGGTACAAGCAGTCTGCACTGCTGTCAGGAATCAAGTGCTTAACCCTGCTCAGCTCTTAAATTGAAGCATCCACGGTTTACAAATATTTGCTTTTGTTCTGAATGACAAAAGCAAAGGTCCTAAATGTTATCTATGGTCACTTAATCTAAGTGTCAGGCGTTCTTGGAACGTGAACCAATTACATAATTTTTTTTAAAACCTTGACCCTGGACATTTGTGGGTGTAGGAGTGCAGCTGCAGCTTCCTCACACGCAGAGGAATGGGACAAGTAGTTAAACAGGCTCCTCACAATGTCTGAAATGTCTTCAACACTTGCTCTGCTTTTCCCTAGCCACATACAGGGCTTAAATTTTAACCTTTGTTCCAACTGTTATGTGCTGCCAGAGAAGGCCATCTTAGTACAAAACCCACTGATGTAAATGAAGATTTTTTTTTCCATTGCTTTCAGTGCACTGTGGATCCAGTCCTAGATGGATAACTAAGATTATCTCAACAGCATAAAGTCAGTGCAGCCAGCTCTATACGCCCATGCCCCCCTCTTTTTCCTCCCCTCCCCACCCTTTGTTGCATGGCTCACACTCTCACCTCAAGCTGAGCAGCTGAGCGCCAACCAGTCTAACGAGAATTGGGGTGAGAAATTTGTCTTTGTGATTTCTCCATCCCTTTTTTTAGCCTGTGCTTGAGGCCATTAAGTCTAGATTGTCTCAGATGGATCCAGTGAAAATTAGATATGTTGCAAAAACTTTTCAACTTGCAAAGCATGGTCTAACCTTTTACAGTTTTCAGTGGAAGTTGCTTCTCTAAAATAGGACTGCTCAATGTTTTTAGGTAGGGCTTTACTGTCCCTGCCTTTTATTCTTCGTCAGCACTGATGTTGCCGCTTGGGCCCTCAGCTCCCCATCCCTCGCCTTCCCCCACAGACCTGTGGGGCTGCTGGTGCAGCCATTTGCAACCTTTGCCCTCCGTTGGACCCTTGTCCCTGGGGCCCGCGGTGGTGTTCTGTGTTTCGTGCAAGCAGCACGGTGTGTCCAAGGAACCGAACGTCTGGGAGATGGGGGAGTGGAAGGGTGGAGCAGCTGCGGTTCAAAATGCTGTCTGGAGCAGCGATGCCTCGCCTCCTGCCTTCCTGCTGCTGCCCCGAATAGCAAGACGAGCTGCGGGCCGAACGGGGCTGGCACCCAGCAGCAGCGACGGGCTTGGCATTTGCTCTGCTCTTTACCTCTTACGTTGGTATTACAACACACTCGGAAATGATGCCACAATGTAAATGCACTTTTCATTGCATGACGGTGCACTAAAACTGTGAGGAAAAGCTTTGGAAAATGAATTTGGAACATGAGAGACTGAAATAGCACCAGTGACTGGGATGCAAGTCCTGTGCTTTGGCGTTAGGGGGCAGGACACGACTAAGTATGCCCTGTGCAGGGTTATGCATTTCACTTAAAGCTAGGAAAACTGAGGGTTCGTTTTAAAGGCTTCCAGATTTTTCCAAGGTATTATGATAGTAAGATAACATTTAAATACAGTTTTACTTCCAGTTACGTGAATTACTGGCATGAGTACTGCTTAAGGTGCACCTAGGCACTCTTGAAATGAGCTTTTTATTGGTTTCTTACTGCATTTTAATTAAACAGGGGTGCAACCGTTTATGTTTATCAAGCCTCAGAATCTATGCGCTGTATCTCTGTTTTCAGTCTGAGCGCAGAAATGCTCTCCCTCGTTTACTCCAGGTAAATTCTTCTTCTGCCCTTTCTTTCGAGCAGGGGTCTGTGCAATCATTCACACCGTCTCCAGTGGAGTATCATTCCTCGGGGGTCATATCCAACTCCCCGGTGCTGTCGGGGAGTTACAGCAGCGGCATCTCTTCGCTCAGCCGATGTAGCACATCAGAGACATCGGGCTTTGAAAGCCAAGGCAGCGAACCAACAGTGACTGTCCCAAGCTACAGCGTTCCTGAGGAGCCTGTGAGAAAAGAAAGTAAAACCCCGCCACCTTACAGCGTGTACGAGCGGACTTTGAAACGCCCTGTTCCTCTACCTCACAGCCTCTCCATCCCGCCCGCCACAGACCCGCCGGCGCTGCCGCCCAAGCCGCAGCTGGTCCGGCCAAACAATCTGGAAAACAGCAGCAGGAGGACTGAGCAGGTTCCCCGGCCCAGGCCTCTGCCCCGCAAAGTCTCTCAGCTATGAGAAGCCACTTTTGTATTTAATTGCAACCAATTCCTTACCGTTTAAGAAATAATATTTTTTAAAAATGGTAAAATGCGTTTAGTTAGGCACTTTAATATTTTGCCCACCTTTTCTTTTGAGTAATTTTAAAATGCTTATTAATTTTGTTGCACATTTGAAATGAAATTACTAATTTAGGTTGCCAGATATTATAGGAAGCATGAATGAGAGAATTTTTTTAATTTCATGGTGGTGAATACTGATAAATGCTTTTATTTGTACTTTATTTTTATTTAAAAAATTAAATCTAAAACCCTACAGCTCTCATCTGAGTTAGCCGAATGCTTCTTACAAAATACAGAATATACTGACTGGATCTTTACTACTAGAGATAAATGCACGCTTTCTAACAAAGTAGTCTGTAGACTAGGATGTTTCTGCAAGTAGGCTGAAAGTTTTCTCTTATCCGATGAACACGTTGGTCATTTAAAATGTATGTGGAAAAGCGGAGATATAATGCAAGTTATACTGCAGAGAACTGTTATAAGAATGTGGTTTGGAATTTTTGAAACACACACTTGGTTTATGTTATTTTTAAGATGGACAAATACCTGCATTTCATTCAGCATACATCACCGTTCTGGTGAATCTCGATAAGGTTTTGTGCCATTAGTGTATTACTGTACCTGACGTATCCTTTTCTTTTTGAGGTGCAATTTACTTTTATTCTTCCAGTTAATGTTGTTTTTGTTGTCGTTTCGGTTTTGTTTTTTAAAAAGCTAGCAGTTTGCTAGTGGAGGTTCTCTGCTGTTTTTGAAAGTTCACCCTGAAATACAATCTGTGTATGGAACAGGTAGAAATTAATTGTTTGCTTAACTTGTGTACAAGAACCAGTACTGACTAGTACCAAGGCAATACACTAAATGAACAAATTTTTAAAAATAAAATTTACTGGATATCGATCAATAAGTTTCAAAAGCTAATTGCAAAGGTCATTAATAATTCTGTAAAAACCTAGCAAAAATCCTGGACAGCTCTTTGGATGTGTACATACCAATGGAGTCAGGTTTTGGATTTGCTTTTTAGCTTAAGTTCATCACCATCATCTTTATTGTAGGAGAATGGTGTTTGGCCTTAGGTTGTATTTTAGTGACTGGCATCTGAAGAGCTCTGGAAAGCTAATGCCAAGCCGTAGGAATGTGGAGGGGAAAAGAAAAGAAAAAAAAAAAAAAAGCACCTTCTGTATGTATTTTTTTGTATCCTCTTTCTTTTACTGACTGTTTAACATGTGCTTGGGAACAGGTGTGTGAACTGCATTTTAAATCATGCTGTTAAAAATATTCTCCCTCTTTTGTTGGGAAGCTCATGTTGATTTTAGCTGTGTGTTTGATTTGTTGATAGTTTAACTGGAAGAAAGTGACCACTTTTTATATTCTCTCAATTAAACCTTCAGCAGTTACAAGCTGTTGACGGTAGTTATAGAGGTTTTCTATAATAAATGTTCAAGTATTTTTGTACATAACTGGTAAATTTTAATAAGGAGTGTACCATTATGTGAAAAAGAAGCAAACAGTTGTGTATGCAGTAAGATTGTTATAATTATGCCAAATACTTTATGTATGGAAAAAAGAATATTTGTAAATATGTGCTTTTAACAATAATTCTGCCATATTGACTTTACAATTTTGAATGTCAGAAAAAATTAATATATGTTAAAATATTTATGTTTTAGTGAAAGTATTCATAACTTGAAAAGGAACATATGAATTTTAGCTTTGTATCTTGCTGATTTCAAAGTCTGAAATTCCTTGAACTAGCTCTTGCTTTCTACTATAACATTTTTGTGTCTGTAACCACATCATAAAAGGTGTAGAAGGCTACGTATTTATGCTGATATAAAGAGGTAATGCCTGAGATTTAAATAAGGTGTCACAAGTAAGATAACAAAGCTGCTTTGATTTTATTTTTTTTTCACCCCTGTGTAGTTTAATAGATTTTGTTGACTAGTGCTTGAGCACGGTATGAATCAGTGTTATTCGCTCCTGAAGCCATTTTTTTATTTCTGGCAGTGAGCAGAGTTGATGACTTTATCATTTGCGTGTATTACTGAAGTCAGCTTTGCAGCAAAACACTTCATGAAGTTTGTTTACCTAAACACTCATATTAGTTGCTGCATAATGTTAATATGGAATAAAAGGACTTGATTAATCTTTACAGTACAACTTGTTTTCTACAGAATGAGAGATGATAATTCAGTTTGTCATGGAATTAAAGTTCTGACTCATTGTCTTGCTAAATCCAGTTTTCTTTCTGTTAAACATCTCCTGATGGATCTAGTTTTCTCCCTATTTTGATCCGTAATTGCTTTGTGAGACAATGTGGAGAGTATTGACCTGCTCTTTTGAACAAGTGAAGAATGTAAAATTTACTAGGAGAGTTCACTGTAAATTAACCTGCATGAGCACTCTGTTTTTATAACCATGACATCAGGAATAATCTGAGTGAGAGCAGATGGTATAAAATTGATCAGAGGACTCTAAAACCGAGCTGACACATTTTTTGCTTAGCCAGTTTTGACAAATTGATTCTGTAGATCAGCTTTTCAACCTGATTTCCTATAAAAAATGTAGTATGAAATTTTGTTATGTATGTTGCAACACCCAGCGCTTGAAAACCTAATGTAAATAAAGGTCTTGTTTGAATTTTATGTATTACTCCTAAATGTAGTTTTATCACTTTCTGGATGACAGTGAGTAATTCAGAAGCTCATATAAGAGGACCTGTAAGAACAAGTTGCTGTTACTACTCAATAGCTTGAATGTTAGCCAACAAATGCATCATAGGTAGGATGATCTTGTATACAAATACTGCATTTGAGATGCTGGTACCTCTGGGATGCCACAGAAGCAACTGCAGACTTGGCTGGCCGGCTTTGAAATGGTGCAATTCAGACCAGTTCTCATGATGGGCTAATACCTCTGTAGTATGAGTGAACTCAATTATCATCATGTCTCAAGTCAGATCATAGCCAATAGCCCATGTCCTGAAAGAAGCAGAAAGCTGCAGTTACCCCTTGATAGTAAAGGTTTCAAGGTAGTGCAGGTATGGCCCTGTTCACAGGGAATGGGGTGTAGCTATGTGTAAAGCTGCTTTTCTGTATGAAAGTGGCACCTTGCCCTCCTGCCTGACCATTTTTCTTGTTCACAGATTGTCTAACAGCGCCTGCAGAAAGCATGGTAACTGAGCAAAAAGATACCAATAGGCAGGAGTCAATGCCTGAGGTATACATGATGAAAAGCATCTTGCTTTGACTGTAACTGTGGTCAGTGAGGCATGTAGCAGCCTTGTATCAATAACCTCAGGTGCTGACAGACACAGCTCTTTGCTCCAGAGCTCTGCTGGTAGCCCACAACGCTCTGATGATCCAGGCAAAGCCTTGACATATGCTCACTGAGGGGCAAAGCCTCATCTGCTGGGACAGTGTGAAAGGATGTTAACCACTGGAGCCCTTGAGATTCTGACCTCGAACCAGATTCTGTAGGAGAAAGCCCTTTCCATAATAATTTAATTTGTCTTTAGCTTCTCCCTGTCATTTTAATTCAGCTTTTGACATATATTTCATATAGGAAAGTAGGATGATTAGTTGCTTTAGATAACACTAACAAAACCATTTGTGATTAAACAGCAAAAATACGCAAGCCTTAGAAATATGAAAGGTTTAGAGCTGCATACCTCGGGTGTGCACTAAGCCTCAGGATGGAGTGACTCTTCCTGGGTGGTAAAATAAGACTACTGAAGAAAGGACATTCAATATTTTTTTAAAATTGGATTGTTCAGTAAGGGACTTGGTGTGCTTGTAGTGAGAGGCTGGTGGCTTTGAAGGCTTCAGTGGGGACAGAGCCTATGACATGAGCCTCCCAGGCACGGCTGGGCAAACTTACCCAGGTTAGAACTTGTGTTCAGGATACAGTCCATAGCTCCTTTCTAATTGACTGATGCTGGATTTGTGTTTATTTCAGGAAGATTGCGGAGAAGAAAGGAGAAGAAGGTGAACAATTGGAAAAAAAAAAAAAAAGGAGGGGAAGCAAATATAAACTAGGAAAAACCTTTGATGGTTAGATGGTGGTGTTTTCACCCACCCAGGAAAAATAATAATGGGAGAAATTGAAATATTAGCTCAAATTGAAGCATCAAATCTATTTCTTTAAGCTGTTGTAGCATCATTTTATACCAGCTTAACTGCTGGTTGAGCTGAAGGGGGCAGAAGGGAAGTTGGAAGTCCTCACAAAATGCAGGATTTTTTTTTTCTTTTACAAATGCATTTTTTTCCTTTCTTTTACTACAGCTTACCAAAGGAAATATGCCAGAGGACAAAGAAGTCTGACTGCCATGAATCACAAGGGCAAAGAGTTTCTAAATCCCCAAACCCTGCAAAATATTAAAATATTTCTGTGGTTTTGCTAGACAGTTGGTTTTTTTCTTACCCCATGGAGCATAATCGATAGTGTATTTTGCAATGAACATCTCATTATTTTAGGGAGCGAATCCACGTCCAAGTTTCATAGGAAATAGCTGCTCTGATAGCTCATAAGCTGCTGAAATTTTGCTTATATATTTAAATGTTTTACATCATTGATTTGCTATTAGTATTAGATCCACTAGTGTATTTCAATTTGTTCCATTTCCTTAGAAATTATTTTGCAGAGGGATTCTCTGCATTACATTCTTGCTTATTTGTGACAGACTGCTATTGCTGCTGGTTTTCCTTGACCTCTCTGACTTCCCTTGAAGTGTTTCCTCTTGCTTTTCAAAAGAAAGGCCGTCAGCGAGGAGCTGCTTCAGCCTTTCCCCTGGGGAATATTTCAGAAGCGCAGCCCGAAGGGGATGCAGCACGGGCATGCGTCTGCTCCTGGGGGGAGGATCACAAGGGCTTTCAGAAGAAAAGCTAGGGGGGGGAAGTTTACCTGTAGAGCATCTGTAGGAGTTTGTGTTTGCAGACATAGCAATAGCTCAAGGACAAGGACTAATTTACTAAAACCAGGAGGTGGAGTGTGGGTAATGTCCTGCATGGACTAAGTTTTGCCAAAGAGTGAAACTCAGTCCCAGCATACCCTGTAAATGGAAATCCTTTGCCTTGTTTCCTGATCCTCCTCACAG